CAACGGGGACAAAGTCTATGGTCAGAGGACTTATCAACGGGGACAAAGTCTATGGTCAGAGGACTTATCAACGGGGACAAAGTCTATGGTCAGGGGATGTATCAACGGGGACAAAGTCTATGGTCAGAGGACATATCAACGGGGACAAAGTCTATGGTCAGAGGACATATCAACGGGGACAAAGTCTATGGTCAGAGGACATATCAACGGGGACAAAGTCTATGGTCAGAGGACATATCAACGGGGACAAAGTCTATGGTCAGAGGACATATCAACGGGGACAAAGTCTATGGTCAGAGGACATATCAATGGGGACAAAGTCTATGGGGTTAGCGCGCTATGCTCTAGTTAGCGACTCAACATTTTAGTGAGGGTTGAGGGGAGGTACTGGGGGATCTCTCTTTGTATTAGAGATTGCCTGCCTCTCTTCTCCTGGAACAAAAAAACGAGCTGATTGCTCGGAGGCAGACCAATTCCCTGAGAGGAACTCAATTATTGACTTTGCTAAGTCAACCTTTAATGTACAAATCACCGTACAAACTCTGTCCTTGTCGCGGCCCACAGCCAATGACAGAAGGCATTCGGCTCACAGTCAAGCACACATTAATTCCTCTCAATCTTCACACTCAATTTAGTCGTGAATGTTCCTGCCAATGTGGCTGAGCCTCAACATTAGGAGCAGTAAATTATACAAACAGCCACTTAATAGTGTGCTGTGCTTCGATGAAGTGAACCCAGGAATGTTGCAGCTATGGGAGGAGTTGGGGGGGAATGAGAACCCAGGAATGTGGCAGCTGTTGGAGGAGTTGGGGAGAAATGAGAACCCACGAATGTGGCAGCTATTGAAGGGGTTGGGAGGGATGAGAACCCAGGAATGTGGCAGCTATTGAAGGGGTTGGGGGGGAATGAGAACCCAGGAATGTGGCAGCTATTGAAGGGGTTGGGGGGGAATGAGAACCCAGGAATGTGGCAGCTGTTGAAGGGGTTGGGGGGGGATGAGAACCCAGGAATGTGGCAGCTATTGAAGGGGTTGGGGGGGAATGAGAACCCAGGAATGTGGCAGCTGTTGAAGGGGTTGGGGGGGAATGAGAACCCAATAATGTGGTAGCTGTTGGAGGGGTTGGGGGAGAAATGAGAACCCACGAATGTGGCAGCTATTGAAGGGGTTGGGGGGGGATGAGAACCCAGGAATGTGGCAGCTATTGAAGGGGTTGGGGGGGGATGAGAACCCAGGAATGTGGCAGCTATTGAAGGGGTTGGGGGGGAATGAGAACCCAGGAATGTGGCAGCTGTTGAAGGGGTTGGGGGGGAATGAGAACCCAATAATGTGGTAGCTGTTGGAGGGGTTGGGGGGGAATGAGAACCCACGAATGTGGCAGCTGTTGGAGAGAAATGAGAGGGCAAAGGCAATCGTGTCCTTACATACAGTGAGGAGAACAAGTATTTGATACACTGCCGATTTTGCAGGTTTTCCTACTTACAAAGCATGTAGAGGTCTGTAATTTTTATCATAGGTACACTTCAACTGTGAGAGACGGAATCTAAAACAAAAATCCAGAAAAACACATTGTATGATTTTTAAGTAATTAATTTGCATTTACAATGTGATTTTCTGGATTTTTGTTTTAGATTCCGTCTCTCACAGTTGAAGTGTACCTATGATAAAAATTACAGACCTCTACATGCTTTGTAAGTAGGGAAACCTGCAAAATCGGCAGTGTATCAAATACTTGTTCTCCCCAATGTGTGTGTTCAGTGGAGAATGTGAAACTTGGCTAATGAAGATTGGCATTAAGATTGGCCGTCAATACTAATGTTTGACCCCTCACTGCCGGTCTGTCTGAAGGATGGCCAGCTCTCCTGAAAACTAGCGGGAAGAGGGCGGTGTGTTCAGATCAGAACAAGGGGCAGACCGTGACATCACATGGTGGAGATCTCACCCGACTCATAGTGAATCTATCAGTAGCCAATTCCGGACAGTGTCAAATCTAGATGGTTAATCAGTTCTACATTAAACCCAGCAACATAGTGTGACACAGTTGAACTTCACTCATAAACGCATCAATCACCCAGAGATGTTGTGGATGTATGCAAATATTAATCAAATATGACATACTGTACAACCCCTCCAATGTGCTCAACTTTTCTCTATTATTTTAGTAGCAGGCATTTTGATGTCCAGTATTCAACATCAGTGTAGATGAAGGAAAGATGTAGGAGCCACTTTAGACTCTGTTTAACTTATGTCTTTGTTTAATCTGGTTTGAAGTGACTAAAATCTGTTTTTTTCGTATCTCCAATACATATCTGATATTTTTCCTGAGGTCTGAACAGCCAAACAGCAAATGGAATCGGATATTTCATTCATAGGTGATTTGAAATAATATACAAATCTGATACCTTGCGGTGCAACTTGCATTCAACAGCGCTCATGTGTTGCACATAATTCATGTTGCAAAAAGAGGGACCTGGAGCTTTCTGATCGGGTCTAGAGCAGTGCAGCAACAGTGCCACCACATGGAGATACTAGGAACCTCCTGTAAAATGGAGAACCACCCGTAGATACAGTGGGGAGAACAAGTATTTGATACACTGCCGATCTTGCAGGTTTTCCTACTTACAAAGCATGTAGAGGTCTGTAATTGTTATCATAGGTACACTTCAACTGTGAGAGATGGAATCTAAAACAAAAATCCAGAAAATCACATTGTATGATTTTTAAGTAATTAATTTGCATTTTATTGCATGACATAAGTATCTGATCACCTACCAACCAGTAAGAATTCCGGCTCTAACAGACCTGTTAGTTTTTCTTTAAGAAGCCCTGCTGTTCTCCACTCATTACCTGTATTAACTGCACCTGTTTGAACTCGTTACCTGTATAAAGGACACCTGTCCACACACTCAATCAAACAGACTCCAACCTCTCCACAATGGCCAAGACCAGAGAACTGTGTAAGGACATCAGGGATAAAATTGTAGACCTGCACAAGGCTGGGATGGGCTACAGGACAATAGGCAAGCAGCTTGGTGAGAAGGCAACTACTGTTGGCGCAATTATTCGAAAATGGAAGAAGTTCAAGATGACGGTCAATCTCCCTCGGTCTGGGGCTCCATGCAAGATCTCACCTCGTGGGGCATCAATGATCATGAGGAAGGTGAAGGATCAGCCCAGAACTACACGGCAGGACCTGGTCAATGACCTGAAGAGAGCTGGGACCACAGTCTCAAAGAAAACCATTAGTAACACACTACGCCGTCATGGATTAAAATCCTGCAGCGCACGCATGGTGCCCCTGCTCAAGCCAGCGCATATCCAGGCCCGTCTGAAGTTTGCCAATGACCATCTGGATGATCCAGAGGAGGAATGGGAGAAGGTCATGTGGTTGATGAGACAAAAATAGAGCTTTTTGGTCTAAACTCCACTAGCCGTGTTTGGAGGAAGAAGAAGGATGAGTACAACCCCAAGAACACCATCCCAACCGTGAAGCATGGAGGTGGAAACATAATTCTTTGGGGATGCTTTTCTGCAAAGGGGACAGGACGACTGCACCGTATTGAGGGGAGGATGGATGGGGCCATGTATCGCGAGATCTTGGCCAACAATCTCCTTCCCTCAGTAAGAGCATTGAAGATGGGTCGTGGCTGGGTCTTCCAGCATGACAACGACCCGAAACACACAGCCAGGGCAACTAAGGAGTGGCTCAGTAAGAAGCATCTCAAGGTCCTGGAGTGGCCTAGCCAGTCTCCAGACCTGAAACCAATAGAAAATCTTTGGAGGGAGCTGAAAGTCCGTATTGCCCAGCGACAGCCCCGAAACCTGAAGGATCTGGAGAAGGTCTGTATGGAGGTCTGTATGGAGGGGTGGGCCAAAATTCCTGCTGCAGTGTGTGCAAACCTGGTCAAGACCTACAGGAAACGTATGATCTCTGTAATTGCAAACAAAGGTTTCTGTACCAAATATTAAGTTCTGCTTTTCTGATGTATCAAATACTTATGTCATGCAATAAAATGCAAATTAATTACTTAAATCATACAATGTTATTTTCTGGATTTTTGTTTTAGATTCCGTCTCTCACAGTTGAAGTGTACCTATGATAAAAATTACAGACCTCTACATGCTTTGTAAGTAGAAAAACCTGCAATATCGGCAGTGTATCAAATACTTGTTCTCCCCACTGTATCAGTAAATCCTCATTGAACTCAATCTCATACAGAGTAGGATTTTGGTCGTACATATCAATGTGACACACCGTGTATAGATTTTTCTACATAATTATGTCAATGTCCATCCATTCGATAAAAAGTATTGGAAAAGCACTCAACTCTACTGCAGCCTGTTTGGTAGAGATTGTAATATTTATTATGACAATAATGATTGAGCATCAGGACAATGCTGCCTTTACCGCTCAACCTAAGAAGACGAGAAAACTAAGGGGACGTGGCTGATGTGAAAACCAATATTTATTTTTTGAATTTGTTAAAATTAAGGTTAGGGTTTAGGTAAGGGTAAGACATATATTTTGGCTAGTCGGGCTGTCAATGGGATGCTGGTCAGAAAAGTCCCCTTAGTCTCTCCATAAGAGGACACGTGATAGGCTACTAGAATTCCCCCCATTTAAATGTACAATTGGCATCCATCGCAATACATCCTAGCCAGTAGCGGTCCGTGGGTAAAACCACTGGGGAAGCCAATGCCATCCTCCTCTCTTTCATTTAAAGGTAATTTCCGATTGAGCCGATTTATATGCTGCGTTCACCCTGAATGTGGTCTCCGCTAACTCAGGAAGATTACCTTTAAAATGTGCAAAACCGAAAAGGGGGAAAGTAACATTATTGTCTAACGTAACATATTGTCAATGACATCAGATTGAGTACAAAAATTGATCCAACAACTATTTGTCTCAATCTGAAGCATTTTAATCAAAAGATCACATTTGTCCTCAAAATGGGAATAAAATAAATACTTTTTAAAATATTTTTATTTTTACATAAAACGTTAATGATGCACATGCTTTCCAGGAAGCAATGAAACAACAAAAAACAGTTGCATCATACCAAAATATTGACCTAAATACCAATAAATAATTGTAAACAATGATAAACAGTCGACAGCCTGTTCTATATCCTGTCTGCCACAGTCCTGCCTCAGTGCCAGGCAGTCTGTAGAAGGGCGTAGAGGAGTCACAGGGAAGTCACCTCTGCTATTGCTTTGGTACACAGCGTCTCCTGAGAGGGTGGTCCTCACAACCTGCACGGCCACCCCTGGGTACTCCACCTCAGGCTCTCCAGGGTCTTCAGGAAAGAGCGCAGGGCCTGATCCTCTTCCTCTGTGATGTCAGAGAAGGAGGAGGGGTGTGTCTGCATCCGGAGGCGGGGCTCCCGGTGGCCCCTGCTGCAGAGCCGGACACCAGGGACCACAGGCTGAGGGAACTCCTCCATCGCCAATGGCAACAGATGGACGGGCAGTGTGTCCATTCTGGTGGCCATCGCACTCAAGGGGCTGCGAGGCCAGGTAGAGAAAGATCCGGTGTGGAGTTGAAAAGGTCTGGAAAATAAGTGAAGGAAATCTGGTGGGCTTTGAGCTCAATCTGAAGTCTGACAGTAAGTAAGCTATGCAGCCAGGAAGAATGCTATCAATTTATCGCGCTGATAAACAGCGATTTCAAAATCCCCAGGTCCAGGTTATTCCTACCTGTACTGGTATATCTGCCTGTTTACCTCCATCTGTCCTGGTTTCTGCTCCTGATAACAGTGGCTGGAGGGAGGAGAGCAGGAGAGCTTGATCTCTTCACCAGTGTCTTCAGTGCTACCGCTCCCTCTGGAACTTCTCTTAGTAGCTGTGAGTGTCTGTGGGAGCTGTTAGCTCCACCCGTGGTTATATAGGTCCCTCCCAGCCACCCACTCACTCCTGCTGACTACCCTCTTCCTACAGTGCCAGGCACCCCTCTCCCTCCCTCCCTCCCTCCCTCCCTCCCTCCTTTTCAGCAAAGTCACAGTTCCGGCTTCCATAACGATCCTCCGGAATCAGCCCCCAGAAATAAACATGGTAAAGAGTCGGAGGGGAGGGGTGACAGCAGGAGAGAGAGGGAGAAAAAGAGAGAGAGCGGGAGAGAGAGACTCACACACAGAGAGAGAGACAGAGACAGAGACTCACACACACAGAGAGAGACAGAGAGAGAGCGGGAGAGAGAGAGTGGAAATGGAAAGTGGAAATGTAGATGTCTAGATAGATAATACATACATGATAAAAAGGGCAGCAGGTAGCCTAGCAGTTAGAGCGTTGGGCCAGTAACTGAAAGGTCGCTGGTTCGAATATCCGAGCTGACAAGGTTAATTTTTTTCCGATGTGCCCTTGAGCAAGGCACTTAACCCTAATTTGCTCCAGGGGCACTATCCTACTATGGATGACCCTGTAAAAGACCACACTGCACCTATCCGGTGTATGTGACAATAAAATATATTTTATTTTAATCAAGAGAATGAACTAGACTGGTAATTAAGAATGCAAGCAACAAATCCATTTCACACAACACACATAGGCCTGTCTGATGTGGGTGGGCTGCTTTCCCAGTCATGGCCCAGATGGCCTTAGGCGTGTGTGTGTGTGTGCAGGTCTCCGACAGAGACTGCATAAGTGACATACGGGCATGTGGAGTCTCAAACTGCTGTCATGACATCACAACAACATGTCATTCTTGTCATCTCTATAATTATCCCATATGTCACACTGTTGTGACTGCTATATGGAGCTTCAGTTACAGTCCATAAGGAAAGCCCAGTCTCTGCTATATGGAGCTTCAGCTACAGTCCATAAGGAAAGCCCAGTCTCTGCTATATGGAGCTTCAGTTACAGTCCATAAGGAAAGCCCAGTCTCTGCTATATGGAGCTTCAGTTACAGTCCATAAGGAAAGCCCAGTCTCTGCTATATGGAGCTTCAGCTACAGTCCATAAGGAAAGCCCAGTCTCTGCTATATGGAGCTTCAGTTACAGTCCATAAGGAAAGCCCAGTCTCTGCTATATGGAGCTTCAGTTACAGTCCATAAGGAAAGCCCAGTCTCTGCTATATGGAGCTTCAGTTACAGTCCATAAGGAAAGCCCAGTCTCTGCTATATGGAGCTTCAGTTACAGTCCATAAGGAAAGCCCAGTCTCTGCTATATGGAGCTTCAGTTACAGTCCATAAGGAAAGCCCAGTCTCTGCTATATGGAGCTTCAGTTACAGTCCATAAGGAAAGCCCAGTCTCTGCTATATGGAGCTTCAGTTACAGTCCATAAGGAAAGCCCAGTCTCTGCTACATGGAGCTTCAGTTACAGTCCATAAAGAAAGCCCAGTCTCTGCTATATGGAGCTTCAGTTACAGTCCATAAAGAAAGCCAAGTCTGCTATATGGAGCTTCAGTTACAGTCCATAAGGAAAGCCCAGTCTCTGCTATATGGAGCTTCAGTTACAGTCCATAAGGAAAGCCCAGTCTCTGCTATATGGAGCTTCAGTTACAGTCCATAAGGAAAGCCCAGTCTCTGCTATATGGAGCTTCAGTTACAGTCCATAAGGAAAGCCCAGTCTCTGCTATATGGAGCTTCAGTTACAGTCCATAAGGAAAGCCCAGTCTCTGCTATATGGAGCTTCAGTTACAGTCCATAAGGAAAGCCCAGTCTCTGCTACATGGAGCTTCAGTTACAGTCCATAAAGAAAGCCCAGTCTCTGCTATATGGAGCTTCAGTTACAGTCCATAAAGAAAGCCCAGTCTCTGCTATGTGGAGCTTCAGTTACAGCCCATAAAGAAAGCCCAGTCTCTGCTATATGGAGCTTCAGTTACAGTCCATAATGAAAGCCCAGTCTCTGCTATATGGAGCTTCAGTTACAGTCCATTAAGAAAGCCCAGTCTCTGCTATATGGAGCTTCAGTTACAGTCCATAAAGAAAGCCCAGTCTGATATATGCAGCTTCAGTTACAGTCCATAAAGAAAGCCCAGTCTATGCTATATGGAGCTTCAGTTACAGCCCATAAGGAAAGCCCAGTCTCTGATATATGGAGCTTCAGTTACAGCCCATAATGAAAGCCCCAGTCTCTGCTATATGGAGCTTCAGCTACAGCCCATAAAGAAAGCCCAGTCTCTGCTATATGGAGCTTCAGTTACAGCCCATAAAGAAAGCCCAGTCTCTGCTATATGGAGCTTCAGTTACAGTCCATTAAGAAAGCCCAGTCTGCTATATGGAGCTTCAGTTACAGTCCATAAGGAAAGCCCAGTCTCTGCAATATGGAGCTTCAGTTACAGTCCATAAAGAAAGCCCAGTCTGCTATATGGAGCTTCAGTTACAGTCCATAAAGAAAGCCCAGTCTCTGCAAGTGACACACAGATCCACAGTGAATTCCCAGATGAGGGTCCACATGACTCTTACCCGGTGAAAGGAAGTAGAGGAATTATGATGGCGTAGATTGCATCACCTCATATCTCAACATCTATTTCAAGACGGTTGGGAGTGGAAAGGAAATGCTATTCAAATACAGAAGCAGGTAATTAATCAGCTATCATCTCTTATGTTAAGACCACATGAGGGAATAGATGGTTGACCAGTGTTTTATTGATGTGGCCATGACAACAGACTGGGAATATACCAGATAGATGGTTGACCAGTGTTTTATTGATGTGGCCATGACAACAGACTGGGAATATACCAGATAGATGGTTGACCAGTGTTTTATTGATGTGGCCATGACAACAGACTGGGAATATACCAGATAGATGGTTGACCAGTGTTTTATTGATGTGGCCATGACAACAGACTGGGAATATACCAGATAGATGGTTGACCAGTGTTTTATTGATGTGGCCATGACAACAGACTGGGAATATACCAGATAGATGGTTGACCAGTGTTTTATTGATGTGGCCATGACAACAGACTGGGAATATACCAGATAGATGGTTGACCAGTGTTTTATTGATGTGGCCATGACAACAGACTGGGAATATACCAGATAGATGGTTGACCAGTGTTTTATTGATGTGGCCATGACAACAGACTGGGAATATACCAGATAGATGGTTGACCAGTGTTTTATTGATGTGGCCATGACAACAGACTGGGAATATACCAGATAGATGGTTGACCAGTGTTTTATTGATGTGGCCATGACAACAGTCTGGGAATATACCAGATAGATGGTTGACCAGTGTTTTATTGATGTGGCCATGACAACAGACTGGGAATATACCAGATAGATGGTTGACCAGTGTTTTATTGATGTGGCCATGACAACAGTCTGGGAATATACCAGATAGATGGTTGACCAGTGTTTTATTGATGTGGCCATGACAACAGACTGGGAATATACCAGAGCTCTCGACCAAACCTTACAATTCTCACAATGTTAAAGACCTTGTTACTTAAATGCATCTAAAAACAATCAAATGCAAAGCTTTCATCAGCACAACCAAATAACAATGTGTGTGCCTTGGTGAGCACATGGAGTAAGATGTAAATCTGATATTATGCTGTACAGTTTGAAGACAAAATCACAAATGTTTCAAACTATTTTTGGGGGGTCATGATGAAATGCTTAAGAATACCAACAACAAAATAACAGCGTATAAAGCATGTTAAAGCAGAAACCTGTTAACAGACCACTGACTGGCTTGGAAGAAAGTGACTTGAGGGTGAGAAGGACAAAACAGTTGGACAAGACATTCGGTTCAACAGTAAATGCCCTGGCCTGTTAACCCCATCAACAGTTAAAGAGCTTGTATCTAAAGTATGCGTACTACTTCCTGCTTCTTTTTTTTTTTTTTTAAATGGGACACCGCCTTGATGAACAGAGAATTACATGTAAGTTGTGTCCCTTCTGTATTGAAGACCAACCGGCTAACTCGACCCATTCCCTAGTTGCTGACATGCTAGCAGACACACAATATCCTCCTTCAAACTGGACATCAATCCACCCAGTATGCAAAAAGGAACCATTACGTTAATGCTGTTTCCTTATCCTCCCTTTAGTACATTCATTTTAATTAATTAATACATGATTTGTCCACAACAACCTTTTCCATTGTAAAGCAATCCTGGGATTACTTTTATTTTCCTGCCCTTTGCCAATTAACTTTCATAATGAGTCAAATCCATTTATTTAAATATTTGGTTTATCTGAGTTCACCTAGACTCCAACAAGAAGAATATAACATTACTGTGAAGAAATAAGTGGCAACTAGCATTGTTTTTTTTCCCCAAAGCGTAGCTCACAAGAGCAGCTCCTAATACCTGTCCACAAGAAAATGTTACTTCAACAGTTTAATTTAACTTAGTGAATTATGTTTAAGTGGCTGGTCAATGTTTCAACACAAGGTGTTCCAACTCCAGGAAGTTCCTCCATAGACACCATTATCCAAGCCAGGGCTCAGTGAAGAACACAGTAGACAACACAGTAGCAGTCTGACAGCCCTGTCCTTGGTCCGTGATGACGTAAGGACAGAAGGAGCCGTCCCCTTTTCCCTGATCGTCTCTTAACCCTGCTTCTGTTTCTTCAGGTAGCGGGAGCGCATCCCCAGGTGCAATCCCATGATGTAGCTGTTCAGGAGCCTGGCAGGGCACAGCACGGTGGTCAGCCAGCCCTGAGGAAAAAAATAAAATACCATTATCACTTACAATCTGGTCTGGTAATCCATGCCTGTTACTTCAATCGTTTTCATGGTTAATGTCATAATTTGTGGGTATTTACAGTCAAATTCTGTATTCATTCCTATTAACTTGCGTTAAGATACTTACCCCTGGAATAGTTATGCATTTGCAAAAGCATGAGAGCTTCAAGCAATGCTCATTTGTGGCTAACTATCATCGAAGAAGCTTCGTAAGCTGATGCGGTAAAATCTGGTATAACCTGACAAGTAGCTACTTGTTCAACCTTGTGATAAAAGCGGTCATCCTGAACCCTAAAAATGTCCACGGAAATGGACAATGAAGTATCGTATCGTCAGCCCGCCCCTACCATGACTGCGTGAGGCAGGTAGCCGTTGGTCTGGCTCTGCAGCCCCACTGTGTTGAGCTCTGCGGCCACATAGCGGTCAGGGTTGGGCTTGTCCAGTGTGGCCCGCCGGATCTTACTCAGCTTGGTGGCCACAAAGAACGGCAGGACACTCTGGAGAGGAGAGATGGCTGTTACTCACATTTACAATGGATGCTCCCTCCCTGGTTTCAGAACAAACTCCTACCACAGCTACATATGACCAAGCCTGTCCACCGGGAGAGACAGCATGGCTGACGGGGGAGGGATAACATTGTGGGGGTTTCTGGGGGATAAAACAAGTCAGACGTGTGAGGGATAACATTGTGGGGGTTTCTGGGGGATAAAACAAGTCAGACGTGTGAGGGATAACATTGTGGGGGTTTCTGGGGGATAAAACAAGTCAGACGTGTGAGGGATAACATTGTGGGGGTTTCTGGGGGGGGTAAAACAGGTCTGACGTGTGAGGGATAACATTGTTGGGGCTTCTGGGGGGTAAAACAGGTCAGACGTGTGAGGGATAACGCTGTGGTGGTTTCTGGGGGGTAAAACCAATAATGTATATAAACCCTGGATTGCTGATGCTATGTATTGGCCATTGAGAGGCTTTGAAGCCACCCGTCGGCCATATTGGCACTCCCCATTAGGAATGAATGGAATTCTACAGTATTTCAAAATGAAATGTATTTAAGTATTTTCTGTTGTTGTAGTGGGGACAGTAACGTTAGTCATCTCAATACATTAAGGAAAACGTTTTTACATAATTCTTCTTTTATGTTTAGCTCACATAGCATTTTAAAATATGGATGAAGGTGTCTGTAATAGAATAAATGTGGCAAAAACAAATGTAGACATTAATAAAGGCATTTCTATAGCTTCCAAAATATGTTTTACAATGTGTGGGGGGGGGGTGTCAAGCTGAAGGCACGGTGGCTTCAACACAGCGCCCCCTGCCAGTCATCTAGTGTATATATAAATCATTGGTTAAAACAGGTCAGTCTTCAGTCTCACCTGGATGAGGATCCCTTTGCTCTTGTACTCAGCCTCCAGCCCTCGGGAGAAGAAGTCCACAAAAGCCTTCGAGGCAGAGTAGACCGTGAGGAGGGGACAAGGGTACATCCCACTGGCAGAAGAGATGTTGAGGATGGCCCCCTTTTTCCTGAAACAGGTGACACTCAATCTGATGTTTAGGGCTCAGAGACAAAACTAACCTCTGGTCCCGGACAACATCACACCTCAGTACATGAGCACATAAGAGTTTGGGAATAAGCGTTACAGTTTGGGCAGAGCGAGTGGGAGAATCTTCACTGACCAGAGCGGCTCTACTAACTGACAACCATTCCCTCCCTGGGAACCCCAGATACCTTCACCACCTCCGTCCCTCCCTCCCTCCACGTACCTCTCTACCATCCCAGGTAGCACCATACGTGTCATCTGCATAAAGAGAGAGAGAGAGATTGTGGGTGTTAGAGAGCAGAAAGCATGCTGTCGCTTTGGGCTGGGTAGCAATCCTCTGCCTCATCCCTTACATGGCAGACTGTGTGTGTGTGTGTGTGTGTGTGTGTGTGTGTGTTCACTCATTGTGGTGCGTGACAGATAAAGTTAAAAAAAAAGAAAAAAGAAGACTTCATTAATCAATTTTTTATTTTTTATTTTTTTGGTCATTTAGCAGACGCTCTTATCCAGAGCGACTTACAGGAGCAATTAGGGTTAAGTGCCTTGCTCAAGGGCACATCGACAGATTTTTCACCTAGTCAACTCGGGGATTAGAACCAGCGACCTTTCGGTTACTGGCACTATGCTCTTAACCACTAAGCTACCTGCCGCCCAATTGTTCATTTCTGTATTGCTAGCCTTCCTTTCCCATAATGAGGACTCACCTGGCAAACAGAGGTGATGTTGATGTTCACCATTGTTTCGATGAACTGCAAGGGGCAGAACAAAAAACTATTTAGTTCTGGGTTCATCATCTCTGAGGCGTAATGTTTTCATAGAACAGCATGTGTGATTGACCTCTAGAGGTCATAGGTCATCTTGGTACACAATAGATGGGAAGTGAACAATCCACAAGGCCATTCAGACTTACACTATCCAGGTTGGGAACGTTGAGGAAGAATTCAGGATAGGAGTAGGACATTCCCACATTATTCACTATGGATAAAAGCCATACGGAATAGAGTCAGGACTTTCAAATACAAGATCATTTAAGGGAATGAAAGAAGTGATCAACAAATGCCTCTCTGCACTTGATTTCCAACTTCTAAACAAAGGAGGGCATCCACAGAGAACCATACCCTCTGAATGATTCACAAAAAACAACTGTCACTGTCGAAGACTGCCTCTCTCACTTACCCAGAACACCAATCTCTAGCCCGGTAAGACCAGCTTCAATCTTGGGATATATGTCAGACGCACTGAAGTCTACAGCGATGGATTTGGTCTCAACGCCATATTTGCTCTCTAGGAGGGAAGACACATGCAAGACGTCATTACTGTAAAATTAAAAAGGTACGGAATGATCTGTGAGGATATCCCCATTAACAGAGAAACTGTAGAGGGGGATTCAGATGTCAATACACCAGTGACCAGCAGAGGGCCCCGTCACATAAGAGAACTAGAGAAAGACTAATTCTCCTCTAGTCCAGGGATTCCCCAAACTTGGTTTACCATTTTTTTTTTTTACTCACAATACCACAGCTCCATTATAAAAACCAGTCAATACCACAGCTCCATTATAAAAACCAGTCAATACCACAGCTCCATTACAAAACCAGTCACAATACCACAGCTCCATTATAAAAACCAGTCAATACCACAGCTCCATTATAAAAACCAGTCACAATACCACAGCTCCATTATAAAAACCAGTCAAAATACCACAGCTCCATTATAAAAACCAGTCACAATACCACAGCTCCATTATAAAAACCAGTCACAATACCACAGCTCCATTATAAAAACCACTCACAATACCACAGCTCCATTATAAAAACCAGTCACATTACCACAGCTCCATTATAAAAACCAGTCACATTACCACAGCTCCATTATAAAAACCAGTCACATTACCACAGCTCCATTATAAAAACCAGTCAATACCACAGCTCCATTATAAAAACCAGTCACAATACCACAGCTCCATTATAAAAACCAGTCAAAATACCACAGCTCCATTATAAAAACCAGTCACAATACCACAGCTCCATTATAAAAACCAGTCACAATACCACAGCTCCATTATAAAAACCAGTCACAATACCACAGCTCCATTATAAAAACCAGTCAATACCACAGCTCCATTATAAAAACCAGTCAATACCACAGCTCCATTATAAAAACCAGTCACAATACCACAGCTCCATTATAAAAACCAGTCAATACCACAGCTCCATTATAAAAACCAGTCACATTACCACAGCTCCATTACAAAACCAGTCACAATACCACAGCTCCATTACAAAACCAGTCACAATACCACAGCTCCATTACAAAACCAGTCACAATACCACAGCTCCATTATAAAAACCAGTCAATACCACAGCTCCATTATAAAAACCAGTCAATACCACAGCTCCATTATAAAAACCAGTCACAATACCACAGCTCCATTATAAAAACCAGTCAATACCACAGCTCCATTACAAAAACCAGTCACATTACCACAGCTCCATTACAAAACCAGTCACAATACCACAGCTCCATTACAAAACCAGTCACAATACCACAGCTCCATTACAAAACCAGTCACAATACCACAGCTCCATTATAAAAACCAGTCAATACCACAGCTCCATTATAAAAACCAGTCAATACCACAGCTCCATTATAAAAACCAGTCACAATACCACAGCTCCATTATAAAAACCAGTCAATACCACAGCTCCATTATAAAAACCAGTCACAATACCACAGCTCCATTATAAAAACCAGTCACAATTCCACAGCTCCATTATAAAAACCAGTCACAATACCACAGCTCCATTATAAAAACCAGTCACAATACCACAGCTCCATTATAAAAACCAGTCACAATACCACAGCTCCATTATAAAAACCAGTCACAATACCACAGCTCCATTATAAAAACCAGTCACAATACCACAGCTCCATTATAAAAACCACTCACAATACCACAGCTCCATTATAAAAACCACTCACAATACCACAGCTCCATTATAAAAACCACTCACAATACCACAGCTCCATTATAAAAACCAGTCAATACCACAGCTCCATTATAAAAACCAGTCACAATACCACAGCTTCATTATAAAACCCAGTCACAATACCACAGCTCCATTATAAAACCCAGTCACAATACCACAGCTCCATTATAAAACCCAGTCACAATACCACAGCTCCATTATAAAACCCAGTCACAATACCACAGCTCCATTATAAAACCCAGTCACAATACCACAGCTCCATTATAAAACCCAGTCACAATACCACAGCTCCATTATAAAAACCAGTCACAATACCACAGCTCCATTATAAAAACCAGTCACAATACCACAGCTCCATTATAAAAACCAGTCAATACCACAGCTCCATTACAAAAACCAGTCACATACCACAGCTCCATTACAAAAACCAGTCAACAATACCACAGCTCCATTACAAAACCAGTCACAATACCACAGCTTCCATTATACAAAACCAGTCAAATACCACAGCTCCATTATAAAAAACCAGTCCAATACCACAGCTCCATTATAAAAACACCAGTCCACAATACCACAGCTCCATTATAAAAAACCAGTCACATACCACAGCTCCATTATAAAAACCAGTCACAATACCACAGCTCCATTATAAAAAACCAGTCACAATACCCACAGCTCCCATTATAAAAACCAGTCACAATACCACAGCTCCATTATAAAAACCAGTCACAATACCACAGCTCCATTATAAAAACCAGTCACAATACCACAGCTCCATTATAAAAACCAGTCAATACCACAGCTCCATTATAAAAACCAGTCACAATACCACAGCTCCATTATAAAAACCAGTCACAATACCACAGCTCCATTATAAAAACCAGTCACAATACCACAGCTCCATTATAAAAACCAGTCACAATACCACAGCTCCATTATAAAAACCAGTCAATACCACAGCTCCATTATAAAAACCAGTCACAATACCACAGCTCCATTATAAAAACCACTCACAATAGCACAGCTCCATTATAAAAACCAGTCACAATACCACAGCTCCATTAAAAAAACCAGTCAATACCACAGCTCCATTATAAAAACCAGTCACAATACCACAGCTCCATTATAAAAACCTGTCACAATACCACAGCTCCATTATAAAAACCACTCACAATACCACAGCTCCATTATAAAAACCACTCACAATACCACAGCTCCATTATAAAAACCAGTCACAATACCACAGCTCCATTATAAAAACCAGTCAATACCACAGCTCCATTATAAAAACCAGTCACAATACCACAGCTCCATTATAAAAACCAGTCACAATACCACAGCTCCATTATAAAAACCACTCACAATACCACAGCTCCATTATAAAAACCAGTCACAATACCACAGCTCCATTATAAAAACCAGTCACAATACCACAGCTCCATTATAAAACCCACTCACAATACCACAGCTCCATTATAAAACCCAGTCACAATACCACAGCTCCATTATAAAACCCAGTCACAATACCACAGCTCCATTATAAAAACCAGTCACAATACCACAGCTCCATTATAAAAACCAGTCACAATACCACAGCTCCATTATAAAACCCAGTCACAATAGCACAGCTCCATTATAAAACCCAGTCACAATAGCACAGCTCCATTATAAAACCCAGTCACAATACCACAGCTCCATTATAAAAACCAGTCACAATACCACAGCTCCATTATAAAAACCAGTCACAATACCACAGCTCCATTATAAAAACCAGTCACAATACCACAGCTCCATTATAAACCCAGTCACAATACCACAGCTCCATTATAAAAACCAGTCAATACCACAGCTCCATTATAAAAACCAGTCACAATACCACAGCTCCATTATAAAACCCAGTCACAATACCACAGCTCCAATATAAACCCAGTCACAATACCACAGCTCCATTATAAAACCCAGTCACAATACCACAGCTCCATTATAAAACCCAGTCACAATACCACAGCTCCATTATAAACCCAGTCACAATACCACAGCTCCATTATAAAAACCACTCACAATACCACAGCTCCATTATAAAACCCAGTCACAATACCACAGCTCCATTATAAAAACCAGTCACAATACCACAGCTCCATTAAAACAGTCCACAGAGGACTCCTAGTGTCCTGTTGGAATATACCAGCATCACTCACCATCAATGTAAAGATATTGTTGGCTTGTCAACAGCCTCACTTCCAAACTGACTGTGTGTAGCATGTAATATTACTCAAACTCACCAGTATGGAACTTCTCCTCCACACAGAGGAACAAGCACTCCATGATGCCTTCTGTATGGTATTCATATCCAGATACCCGTCTACACCAAACAGGTCCAGATACCCGTCTACACCAAACAGGTCCAGATACCAGTCTACGCCAAACAGGTCCAGATACCCGTCTACGCCAAACAGGTCCAGATACCCGTCTACGCCAAACAGGTCCAGATACCCGTCTACGCCAAACAGGTCCAGATACCCGTCTACGCCAAACAGGTCCAGATACCCGTCTACACCAAACAGGTCCAGATATCCATCTACACCAAACAGGTCCAGATATCCGTCTACACCAAACAGGTCCAGATATCCATCTACACCAACAGGTCCAGATATCCATCTACACCAAACAGGTCCAGATACCCGTCTACGCCAAACAGGTCCAGATACCCGTCTACGCCAAACAGGTCCAGATACCCGTCTACACCAAACAGGTCCAGATATCCGTCTACACCAAACAGGTCCAGATACCCGTCTACACCAAACAGGTCCAGATACCCGTCTACACCAAACAGGTCCAGATATCCATCTACACCAAACAGGTCCAGATACCCGTCTACGCCAAACAGGTCCAGATACCCGTCTACGCCAAACAGGTCCAGATATCCGTCTACACCAAACAGGTCCAGATACCCGTCTACACCAAACAGGTCCAGATATCCGTCTACACCAAACAGGTCCAGATATCCATCTACACCAAACAGGTCCAGATATCCATCTACACCAAACAGGTCCAGATATCCATCTACACCAACACACATCAACAGGTCCAGATATCCATCTACACCAAACAGGTCCAGATATCCATCTACACCAAACAGGTCCAGATATCCATCTACACCAACAGGTCCAGATATCCATCTACACGATCACACAAACAGGTTTGCGTTGGTTAGGGGAAGCAACGGAAAGTGTTTTAACATATTTTACAACGGGAAACAAAAATGCGAGCCCAGGTATTCCCTCCCAGTTTGTTCCTGTTTTCTGCCTAATGAACATGCCCCAGTTGTAACCACTCACCGATGGACTTGGCCACATCATCCAGCTTCTCCTGGGTGCGGCTGATCAGCACAATGGAAAACCCCCTCCGAGCCAGCTGTGGAGACAGACCAACTGCTAGAAACCAACATCAACATGGACACTGAACACTAAGACCATCATTAAGACCGGCCATTAAAGAGGGTCAAACATTCAACACTACCACACCCAACTGCACCCAAATCCACGATCTAAAACACTCAAATCACAACACCCATCATCAACACTGAGAAGGATAGCACTAACTGTTATCAAGCAGGCCATTTATTATGAGGCTGTCAACTGATGGGAAATCCTTTGACAAATGATTGTACTTTAAAATGAATTCTGCCCTGGCTATGCAGCATAATAATATAATATGCCATTTAGCAGACGCTTTTATCCAAAGCCACTTACAGTCATGTGTGCATACATGTTTACTTATGGGTGGTCCCGGGGATCGAACCCACTACCCTTGCGTTACAAGCGCTATGCTCTACCAATTGAGCTACATAGGACCATTAATCCCTCAGCGCTTGCTCGCAAAAGGCAAACGTGTGTGTGTGTGCGTGTGTGTGAGAGACAGTCACTACTTCCGACCTCATGGTTAAACCTCTCTCTCCCCCCCCCTCTCTCTCTGATGAATCACTGTGGTTTTCCCATAGAGGGGCCTGAAATGTCTGAAACTCCGGGAATCTCTTACCTCCTCCGCATAGGCTTTCCCGATTCCATCAGTGGCTCCCGTCACAACTGAAGGGGAAGACAAACGAGGGGAGAGGGGGAAGACGAACGAGGGGAGAGGGGGAAGACGAACGAGGGGAGAGGGGGAAGACGAACGAGGGGAGAGGGGGTTTTAGTCAAGGGTAAACAAACACACTGCACACAAAACTGACCCCGAAAAAAAAACACTAAAAGCGCAAGAGCACACAGATTCCATTCTAGTCAACGTGGTCACAAGCCTATTTGTGTCAAGCAGTACTCAGTCAATGCATCAGACCTGGGTGAAATACATCAGCATTTAAATATTTGTATAAATGTTGTGAAAAATTATATGCCACATAAAAATGATGACATGAACAATGCATTCTGTGTCCTTCCACTGCCACCTGTGGTACGGTCATTTGAGAGAGAGAGAGAGAGAGAGAGGAGGACGAGCGAGAGAGAGAGAAGGACGAGAGAGAGAGAGAGAGAAGGACGAGCGAGAGAGAGAGAGAGAGGAGGACGAGCGAGAGACAGGAGGACGAGCGAGAGAGACAGAGGACGAGCGAGAGGACGAGAGAGAGAGAGGAGGACGAGAGAGAGAGAGAGAGAGGAGGACGAGAGAGAGAGAGAGAGAGAGGAGGACGAGAGAGAGAGAGAGAGAGAGGAGGACGAGAGAGAGAGACAGAGGACGAGCGAGAGAGACAGAGGACGAGCGAGAGAGACAGAGGACGAGCGAGAGAGACAGAGGACGAGCGAGGAACGAGCGAGAGAGACAGAGGACGAGCGAGAGAGACGAGGGACGAGCGAGAGAGACAGAGTGACGAGCGAGAGAGACAGAGGACGAGCGCGAGAGAGAGAGAGAGAGGAGGACGAGCGAGAGACAGGAGGACGAGCGAGAGAGACAGAGGACGAGCGAGAGAGACAGAGGACGAGCGAGAGAGACAGAGGACGAGCGAGAGGACGAGAGAGAGAGAGAGAGAGAGGAGGACGAGAGAGAGAGAGAGAGAGAGGAGGACGGAGAGAGAGAGAGAGAGAGGAGGACGAGAGAGAGAGAGAGAGAGGAGGACGAGAGAGACGAGACGAGCGAGAGAGACAGAGGACGAGCGAGAGAGACAGAGGACGAGCGAGAGAGACAGAGGACGAGCGAGAGAGACAGAGGACGAGCGAGAGAGACAGAGGACGAGCGAGAGAGACAGAGGACGAGAGAGAGAGACAGAGGACGAGAGAGAGAGACAGAGGACGAGAGAGAGAGACAGAGGACGAGAGAGAGAGAGACAGAGGACGAGAGAGAGAGACAGAGGACGAGAGAGAGAGAGACATGAGAGAGTAGAGAGAGCAGAGAGAGAGAGAGAGAGAGAAGAAGGATAGCGAAGAGAGAGAGGAGGACGAGAGATAGAGAGAGCTAATCGACAGAGAGAGAGAGAACGAGAAGAGAGAGAGATAGAGATCGAGAGAGCGAATAGAGAGGAGGCGAGATAGCTAGAGAAGGAGACAGAGCGCATGAGAGAGTGAGACGATTAGCGATATGAAGAGACGAGAGACGAGAGATAGAGGAGGACGAGAGAGCAGAGAGAGAGGAGACGAGAGAGAGAGAGAGAGGAGGACAGAGAGAGAGAGAGAGAGGAGGACAGAGGAGAAGAGATAGAGAGAGAGAGAGAGTAGACGAGAGAGAGAGATGATGACTAGAGAGAATAGAGAGGACGATAGAGAGAGATAGAGACTAGAGAGAGAGATAGAGGAAGTGACGATATATAGAGAGAGAGAGTCAGAGAGATAGAGATAGAGAGAGGAGAGAGATAGAAGTAGGGACTAATAGATTAGATAGGACGATAGAGAGATGATGGGACGATAGAGATATATGTTACTATATATATACGAATAGAATATAACGAAGGAAGATTATATAATATTGATAAAGATGAGGAGGAAGATACGAAAATAAATATGTAAAGATTGAGGAGGAAGAGGACTACCGGTACTGAGATGGCGGGGAGGAAGGGTGCAGCAGGACAGGCTCCTTGGCCTTCTTCTGCCACCCCGGTGCAGGCAGCCTGGCACTGCAGAGACAGCAGTAGCTTTATTTAGCCTTTACCTGCTGTCAGTGGGCTCAGTTGGCCTCACCTCAGGTTCAAAATAGAACCAAGTGAGGCTGCCTCCCTCTCACCCTCAAACCGCAAGCTAGAGCAGCAAAATACTTTGTTTTCCAGCTCTCAAACTCTCCACTCACCCCCCTCCCTCCTTCACTACACCCAACCCCACCCCCCCCCCCCCTTCACTATACCCAACTCTCCACCCATCCCTCCTTCACTATACCCAACTCTCCACCCATCCCTCCTTCACTACACCCAACTCTCCACCCCCCTCCTTCACTATACCCAACTCCCCACCCCCCCTCCTTCACTATACCCAACTCCCCCCCCCCCCTCCTTCACTATACCCAACTCTCCACCCATTCCTCCTTCACTATACCCAACTCCCCACCTTCACTATACCCAACTCCCCACCCCCCCTCCTTCACTATACCCAACTCCCCACCTTCACTATAAACCCAACTCCCCACCTTCACTATAACCCAACTCCCCACCTTCAACTATAACCCAACTCCCCACCCCCCCTCCTTCACTATACCCAACTCCCCTCCTTCACTATACCCAACTCCCCACCTTCACTATACCCAACTCCCCACCTTCACTATACCCAACTCCCCACCTTCACTATACCCAACTCCCCACCTTCACTATACCCAACTCCCCACCTTCACTATACCCAACTCCCCACCTTCACTATACCCAACTCCCCACCTTCACTATACCCAACTCCCCACCCCCCCTCCTTCACTATACCCAACTCCCCACCTTCACTATACCCAACTCCCCACCTTCACTATACCCAACTCTCCACCTTCACTATACCCAACTCTCCACCTTCACTATACCCAACTCTCCACCTTCACTATACCCAACTCTCCACCTTCACTATACCCAACTCTCCACCTTCACTATACCCAACTCTCCACCTTCACTATACCCAACTCCCCACCCATCCCTCCTGCACTATACCCAACTCTCCACCTTCACTATACCCAACTCTCCACCCATCCCTCCTGCACTATACCCAACTCTCCACTGCTGTTGCCTTGGTGATTAAAGCAGAGGAAGATGAGAAGCAGCCAGGCACGAGACCAGAGAGGAGGGAGGGAGAGAGATGACCATGGATCCTGGGACCAGCTAAAAATAGAACGGAGCGATTGAACAGAGGGGAAGTGAGGGAGAGTCTGTATGGACGACAGGGCAAAGCTTCCCCTGGTTATTTTAACATTGTTTAAGAATTAAACTCAATGTTTGGAGCTCAAGGCATGTTCCTTCCATTCACTCAAATAAAAATTTAAAAAAGTGTCAATTTGAAGAGCCCCCATCAAATATATGCTAGGTTATGGAAGAATCTCTACTCATAGGACCTAACCTAGACGGCCTTGAATGGCATCCAACATCTTCATATCGTCAAGAAACTAAAATGTGGTTATAAAAATCCAAAAAAAAAGTTTTTTATTTATTTTTAAAATCACAATAAAAAAAGCCCTGCCTCTCAGTCACAGACAGCGGTGCTTCTGCTGCTGAATATTCTGAGCTAAAAAAAGAACTGCAGATTTAAAATAGCAGAAGGCTGCAACCTCGTCTAGAACAGTCGCTGCACAGAATACCAACGAGCTGCTGCTCCCAGCGGTTCTTCACACACCTCAGCATTCCTCGCCCCATCTTTCCTCTTACTTATGGACGGTTGGAAACACACACCTTATTCATCTGTCTTACTTTTTTTACAAACAATTTCATGGCTAACCCCTGGTTCTACAACCCCTGGTTCTTTAGTCTTAAAAATGTGTTGCATATTCTGTTCAGACCACCACTTTGTACAGTAGCATGCCTCCTTGGATAGGGGGTACATGTTTATCTATATACAATACTGAACAATATCCAGACAGACGTCATCTCCTGGCCTGTATTTAGTGATGCAGCCATTGCTAAGAGGAGGCAAGGTGGAGGAACTGTGGCGAAATAGCTAAATCTCTAAAAATGCAATGTTTTTCACACATCATAAATCCCATTTATGGCGTAAAGCTCAAGTCTCAGCCTGCATTTACACTTTAGCTTTTTTCCTCAAATTGCACATTTTCAGTTGATAAAGTGGCCAATATTGAATTAATATCCCAACTTTCAGCAATTATTTCTAAATAATGATTTACAAATGCAGTGTCAAAGATCCCTCCTCCAAAGCATATTTGTTTTTAGTCAATTGTAATAAATTCTAGGAAAATATTAACTTTTTTAAACTTGCGTTTCATTTTTTGTTCCAAAGGATCCCCCTTCCTGTCGTTCTTGAAGCAGTCAGAAGAACACCGGTGTGGAACGTAACAATGTGCGTCAGTACATGACCTGAGAACGACCTCCTTCAACCAATGACAGAGAGAGGAGCGATCCACTTATGGTTACCAGTGTCCAACAAATCTGTCAAGCACACCAGATATTACCCATGAGCCAATGCATTTCAATAAAAGGACTTGACAATAGAATTGTCTAAATAACCATTGTGTCGAGACAGAAAAAGACAGGGTGGGGGAAGCTCAGAACGGGACGAGGGGGGAGGGAAAGATGGTGAATATCGCCTTTTATGAATGGGAGGTGAACGCACAGAAAGATGGTGAATATTGGCTTTTATGAATGGGAGGTGAACGCACAGAAAGATGGTGAATATAGGTTTTTATGAATGGGAGGTGAACGCACAGAAAGATGGTGAATATCGGCCTTTATGAAATGGGAGGTGGGGCTAGAGATATGCACCCTCTTTTACGTGATGCTGCTCCACAACACGCACAGCGGTAAGTGTAATTTAAACAGAACACCCAGAGTCCTCTGCCTCCTTTATGAATGGCTCTAGTCTTCTTACATAATCAGGCCATTCTCTCAGTCACCTCTGCGTCAGTGAGCAAGGGGGAAGAGCTGTCCAATAGCTATTCACAGTGTTTCTAAATAAGCTACATAATGCATGTCAAACTTGGTTGAAATGTCCCCATATTTATAATTTCCCTTTGCTGCAAACATGAGCAAACCTGTACTTTAAAATCAGCAGACCAGGATAAGACTGCCATTCAGCAGGCCTTGACAGCTAGCCTGAAATCCAGACCTGTTTGGTGTTAACATTCCATTCCTTGTACTACGTGTCATTTGCCAAAACACAGGAGTTGAACGTTAGCACAAACGTTTTGTCACGTGCTTTAATTTAATTTCCAGGGGTTTATTTTGATTTCAAAATGGGATTTCAATTATGTAAAAACTTTCTGGAGCTAGTCCACTTCTGGGTGCGATAGCCACAGCTGTGTTTTGCAGTCACATGGTCAACGCATGCCCTAAACTGGTGGTTGCACTTCAAAGATGGATGGACTCAAATATAATAATTAGGTGGGTGCTCTTCTCCCATTTCACACATGTACCAGTGTGTCAATACACGTGTGAATTGGAAATGTGTTTTTTGCATATTCATTTACATTTACGTCATTTAGCTGACGCTCTTATCCAGAGCGACTTACATTATTATTTTCATACTGGCCCCCCGTGGGAAACGAACCCACAACCCTGGCGTTGCAAACACCATGCTCTATCAACTGAGCTACCTCCCTGCCTGCCATTCCCTCCCCTACCCTGGACGACGCTGGGCCAATTGTGCGCCGCCCCATTGGTCTCCCGGTTGGTCTCCCGGTTGCGGCCGGCTACAGCAGAGCCTGGATTCGAACCAGGATCTCTAGTGGCACAGCTAGCACTGCGATGCAGTGCCTTAGACCACTGCGCCACTCGGGAGACTGATTCACACATATTCCACACATGCCAGGGTCTACCATAATCAACGGTGACCCTGGAGCAATTAGGGTTAGGTGCCTTGCTCAAGGGCACATTGACTGATTTTTCACCTTGTCGGCTCAGGGATTCGAACTAGGGACCTTTCGGTTACTCGCTCTAAGCTACCTGCCACCCCAAAGGTGGTAATCCTGATGTGGTAACCCTGTTGATGTAACCCTGATTATGTAACCCTGAATGGATAAATGGCCTTGCCCTAGCAATAAGGTTGGGTAAACATTAATGTAGCCTATTACTCACTTCTGTGAGGAAAGGCAGACTCATGCCATTCCTACGCAATACTGATGTGTTGTCTAGGAACCACAGAGTCCGCTGTGGGTTCCAAAGGACAATAGGGCTGGCCAGCCTTTCCCCTACATGCATTTAGCAGTGGGCACCCCCCCAAAAAATAAATAAATAAATAAAAACAATTAAGAGATTTACAGTAACATTCCTAAATATTTTTTCAGGATGGTAAAACGTTTTCAGTGTAAACTTAAACGACTAAAACCAGATATAAAGTACGTAGTAAAGTTAACAGAGCAATATCTTTTTTTATAAGATCTTTGAGAACTAGCCATTGCCAAAATAAAAACTAGACAGTCAGGGAGAATCTACAATTTTAAAAATATTATGGCATTGGGGCCCCATTGATTTAGTTATAATGTTAGAGTCACTCAGAGAGCATAAACCACGGCAAAATGTGTAGAAGTGCAGGAAATGACATTTAAAAACAGAACATTTTTGTCTCTACAGTTGGCCTCTAAAACCGTGCCTGCCCCCCAGGTTAACTTTACCACCACTGCAGAAAAGAAATCCTAGGGGAAACACTGTAAATGTATTCTACTAGCTACAATGTCCTACTGATAGCTAGGAGAACTAAATGTAGACTACTAGCTACAATATCCTACTGATAACTACATTTATTCTACTAGCTACAATATCCTACTGATAACTAGGAGAAAGTATTGTCTGATTCACACTATAAACTGACCTGAACCATACTGTAGTGGGTCGAGGGTCACTGGTTTTGAAGTACATGTAGGGCTACCCCATTACTAGCTCTCAAACTCTAGGCGGCATTCTGACTTCTCCCTACAGTTTTGAGCCATTAGCTTCGCCCACGAATGGCTCATGTGAACTACAATTCATACACTGTGTTTTAACGTTTAGAAACGTCAATAATTATCGCTTGAGATACGGCTTTCGAAACATATGGCTCTTATCTTTCATCAGCGACAAATACTTGAAATAAAATAAAACATAAACACGCCATAAAGCAATGGTGAGGCCATGCAAACATTGTCTTTATATAAATATTGCTTGCTAGCTACTCACCTGCCCATTTCCCGAGTTTAGCAGGTGATACCAACCGTCCATTCCCCAGCACCCACACTCTGAACCCGGACAGCAACCGATATATTGAGCACACTGAGAAATAGGCCGCAGTCAGCGCACCGATCCAGAAGAGCGGTGTCTCCACCGCGCGTAGCAAAGCCTCTCCGGTTGACAACATGATATTTGCACAACGCACACGGCTTTCACAACTAACTTGTGAGATTAAATGTATGCGTTCATAAATGGCTGTCTACAATAAATGAATCTATTGCAAAAGCTTCTTGAACATGGTGCGTCCAGTCATTTTGAGGTTTTATACTTGGCTTTGCTTCCGCGTCTAACACTTCCGCATTCGCTGGTTTGCATCACTGATTTGTTGAGGTTGGAATCTGTCAAAACATGCTCCCTTTCGATTCGTTTATATTTGCGTCAAATTCGTTGGACAGCAATGACATGTTTTTAGACAGCCATTCTCATTCATTATTTGTATCTTTATGAACGAGGAAGGCGGGACCAACACTTTCATGAAATCTGACTGGATGAATCTGATTGGTTTGTGCTGTAATTACTGTCCAAAGTAACAAACAGGACTTGGATTATTGTTGGGATTATTTCACTGGATCTGGCGACAACTGTATATAGTTTTCATTGTTATCTGTGCTCTATGTTCTGTGTTTTTTTTATTTGATAAAAAAAGTAATATATATATATATATATTATTATTATTAATACTAGACTGCAGTGGAGAGGTCAAAAACTTAATGTTCCTCTGCATGCACATCACTGACGACCTGAAATGGTCCCTTCACACAGACAGTGTGGTGAAATAGGCACAACAGCACCTCTTCAACCTCAGGAGGCTGAAGAAATTTGGCTTGGTCCCCAAGACCCTCACAAACTTTTACCATTGAGAGCATCCTGTCAGGCTGTATAACCGCCTGGTACAGCAATTGCACCGTCCGCAAACCGCAGGGGTCTCCAGAGGGTGGTGCGGTCAGCCCAACGCATCATCAGGGGCACACTGCCTTCCCTCCAGGACATCTACAGCACCCGGTGTCACAGGAAGGTCAAAAAGTTCATCAAGGACCCCAGCCAACCGAGCCACGGCCTGTTCACCCCGCTACCATTTAGAAGTGGAGACAGTACAGTACAGTTGCAGCAAAACTGGGACTGACTGTTGAATCAGACCGTTAAACAGGCTCTACTAGCTGGCCTCCGCCCAGTACACTGCCCTGAACCTCAGACACTGTCACTAGCCGGCTACCACCCGGTACTCTACCCTGCACCTTAGAGGCCGCTGCCCTAAGTACATAGAGTCATTGAACACTGGTCACTTTAATAATGTTTACATACTGTTTTAACCACTTTATATGTATCTACTGTATTCTACACTCTTAGAAAAAAAGGGTTTGAAAAGGGTTCTTTGCGGAGGGATAGGGTTCTACCAAGAACCGTTTTGATCAGAAGAACCCTTTTTGGAAGACAAGGGTTCAACTTCTTTGTAAATTAAATGGTTCTACCTAGAACCTTTAACATCCTAAGAACCGTTTTTAGAAGAAAGGGTTCTTTGATGATTCTTTGGAAGGCAAGAAGGATTCGTTGGAAGGCAAAAAAGATTCTACATAGAACCATATATAGTATTTCCCAGCATGCTCTATTGCAGGGAGATTTTCAGAATTGTTTGTTTTACTGTAATATCTGTGTTTTTGCATGTACATTGACTGGTTAATACATTTTATGCTACACAAAGATAAATAACATACAGTTTTCTAAACTAATCCTATCTGTTGGATTTATAGTACCCGTTACTGAGATGGTTGTTGCAGTTTAGATGATTGAGGTAATCTCAGTATTCAATCTTCCCTACCCTGGCAGTCATTCTGAATTCAGGTTGCGGGTGATTAACAATATCCTAACTCTGGCTGGATTCCAATAGGAATTACACATCACTTTGCAAGCCAGCATAATGTGATTTGCAGGCCTGATGTGGCCTGTAAACCAGGAGTTTCCTAACACCACTGTGTTAAGGTATAACTAGGCCCTCAAAGAAAAGCCTTATGATATACAGTGCATTCAGAAAGTATTCAGACCCCTTGACTTTTTCCAAATTTTGTTAAGTTACAGCCTTATTCTAAAATTGATTAAATAAACAATTTCCCTCACCAATCTACACACAATACCCCAGAATGACAACGCAAAAACAGTTTTTTTGCTAATTTATTACAAATAAATGTTGAGTCTCATAGTCTCCTGTTTCCATTGATCATCCTTGAGATGTCTGGAGGAAACCTGGCACCATCCCTACGGTGAAGCATGGTGGTGGCAGCATCATGCTGTGGGGATGTTTTTCAGCGGCAGGGACTGGGAGAGTAGTCAGGATCGAGGGAAAGATGAACGGAGCAAAGTACAGAGAGATCCTTGATGAAAACCTGCTCCAGAGCGCTCAGGACCTCAGACTGGGGGCAAAGATTCACCTTCCAACAGGACAACGACCCTAAGCACACAGCCAAGACATTGCAGGAGTGGCTTCGAGACAAGTCTCTGAATGTCCTTGCGTGGCCCAGCCAGAGCCCGGACTTGAACACGATCTAACATCTCTGGAAAGACGTGTGCAGCGTCGCTCCCCATCCAAACTGACAGAGCTTGAGAGGATCTGCAGAGAAGAATGGGAGAAACTCCCCAAATACATGTGTGCCAAGCTTCTAGCATCATACCAAAGAAGACTCAAGGCTGTAATTGCTGCCAAAGGTGCTTCAACAAAGTACTGAGTAAAGGGTATGAATACTTATGTAAACGTTATTATTTATTTATTTTGTATTAGCAAAAAATTCTAAAAACCTGTTTTTGCTTTGTCATTATGGGGTATTGTGTGTAGATTGATGAGGGGGAAAAAACTATTTAATCCATTCTAGAATAAGTCTGTAACGTAAAAAAAAATGTGGAAAAGGTCAAGGGGTCTGAATACTTTCCGAATGCACTGTATGTGATGTATTGCAATAAATAATAGAATTTTAAAGGCTAATAAGGATGGTGGAACCATTCATAGAACCCTCCAAAGATAAAAGGGTTCTAGGTAGAACCCTTCATAGACGGTTCTAGGAAGAACCTTTAGAAGATAAAATGGTTCTTGGTATAACCCTTCATAGAGGGTTCTAGGTAGAACTATATACAGAGGGTTCTTTGAAGTACCCCACATAGAGGGTTCTAGATGGAACCTCTGCAAAGGGTTCTACCTATCACCAAAAAGGGTTCCCCTATGGGGACAAAGCGAAAAACCCCATATAGTTCTACTTTTTTCTAAGAGTGTAGTCATGGCTCATCCTATATAACTACTGCTATACACCCTATTTTATTCACAAACTGTCCATACTGTCTATACACACCATTCACATACAGTGAGGGAAAAAAGTATTTGATCCCCTGCTGATTTTGTATGTTTGCCCACTGACAAAGAAATGATTAGTCTATAATTTTAATGGTAGGTTTATTTGAACAGTGAGAGACAGAATAACAACAAAAAAATCCAGAAAAACATATGTCAAAAATGTTATACATTGTTTTGCATTTTAATGAGGGAAATTAGTATTTGACCCCTCTGCAAAACATGACTTAGTACTTGGTGGCAAAACCCTTGTTGGCAATCACAGAGGTCAGACGTTTCTTGTAGTTGGCCACCAGGTTTGCACACATCTCAGGAGGGATTTTGTCCCACTCCTCTTTGCAGATCTTCTCCAAGTCATTAAGGTTTTGAGGCTGACGTTTGGCAACTCAAACCTTCAGCTCCCGCCACAGATTTTCTATGGGATTAAGGTCTGGAGACTGGTTAGGCCGCTCCAGGACCTTAATGTGCTTCTTCTTGAGCCACTCCTTTGTTGCCTTGGCCGTGTGTTTTGGGTCATTGTCATGCTGGAATACCCATCCACGACCCATTTTCAATGCCCTGGCTGAGGGAAGGAGGTTCTCACCCAAGATTTGACAGTACATGGCCCCGTCCATCGTCCCTTTGATGCGGTGAAGTTGTCCTGTCCCCTTAGCAGAAAAACACCCCCAAAGCATAATGTTTCCACCTCCATGTTTGACGGTGGGGATGGTGTTCTTGAGGTCATAGGCAGCATTCCTCCTCCTCCAAACACGGCGAGTTGAGTTGATGCCAAAGAGCTCGATTTTGGTCTCATCTGACCACAACACTTTCACCCAGTTCACCTCTGAATCATTCAGATGTTCATTGGCAAACTTCAGACGGGCATGTATATGTGCTTTCTTGAGCAGGGGGACCTTGCGGGCGCTGCAGGATTTCAGTCCTTCATGGCGTAGTATGTTACCAATTGTTTTCTTGGTGACTATGGTCCCAGCTGCCTTGAGCTCATTGACAAGATCCTCCCGTGTAGTTCTGGGCTGATTCCTCACCGTTCTCATGATCATTGCAACTCCACGAGGTGAGATCTTGCATGGAGCCCCAGGCCGAGGGAGATTGACAGTTATTTTGTGTTTCTTCCATTTGCGAATAATTGCACCAACTGTTGTCACCTTCTCACCAAGCTGCTTGGCGATGGTCTTGTAGCCTATTCCAGCCTTGTGTAGGTCTACAATCTTGTCCCTGATATCCTTGGATAGCTCTTTGGTCTTGGCCATGGTGGAGAGTTTGGAATCTGATTGATTGATTGCTTCTGTGGACAGGTGTCTTTTATACAGGTAACAAGCTGAGATTAGGAGCACTCCCTTTAAGAGCGTGCTCCTAATCTCAGCTCGTTACCTGTATAAAAGACACCTGGGAGCCAGAAATATTTCTGATTGAGAGGGGGTCAAATACTTATTTCCCTCATTAAAATGCAAATCAATTTATAACATTTTTGACATGTGATTTTCTGATTTTTTTTGTTGTTATTCTGTCTCTCACCGTTCAAATAAACCTACCATTAAAATTATAGACTGATCATTTCTTTGTCAGTGGGCAAACGTACAAAATCAGCAGGGGATCAAATACTTTTTTCCCTCACTGTACATATATATTGTTTACAGTATGTTCCGGACTCAGGTCAGGAAGCTAATTTCCTGTAATTCTATCAATTTTGCTATGGGGTTTTGTACTGTGTATTTAAATACTGTATTCTCGACATAGCTCATTCTAATATTTCTACTACTGTACATTGCATTTTGATTACACTGTTTTTACACACCGCATATTTATGTATATACTGGATTATTGACATAGCTCACTCTAATATATCTACTGCTGTATTCCTAGTATAAATTGTGTAAATTCATCCAGTGTAGATACATTTAGATTGCATTTGGATTACTAGTGCTATTTGGGTTGTTCATTAGATTACTGTTACAGTGCTATTTGGG